TATATAGAAAATAAGACTATACAATATACATCATAAGTTTACGCACGTAATGAAGTAATTTTGCGATAATTATGTAATGCGCAGCGCATAGGAATTGCAACGTAACATTATCTGTCATATTTTACCGCTAGAACATCATGTTATCCCTGAATCGGCTGTGCTCCAGGCCGGTTGCTTGTCTGGCGCACGTATCATCCGTCGAGTCAATCTCGTCCAAGAGGTTTCAGCACCGTTTTAACGCTAGACATACCACAAAGGTATAATATTATGACTTTTATAATCCACATTTAATATATTAGCGACTCGGAAGTAAACTGCGTTTAAATGAATTCTGCATTCGAATGTTTTTCCCTTCAACTCGCTGTCAATTTGATGTCAATGCCATACTTTGACTTTTTACAGTCAACTTTTGCACAACACTTTTCAGCAGTGTTGTTTAGAAGAAAATTAATAACTTGTCTCGTATTGTAGCTATTAATAGTGCAAATGAGGAAGAGAACTTGATGTACCACTGTCTAGCAGTAAACTGTTGAGCATTAATCCAACTTGACAAGTTGATTTGTAGGATGTCAAAACTCCACGCTTGAAAAAAAGTGATTTAACGCAGTCCACCTTTAGAAGGCACTGATATGTCATTCATGTCAATGTGATTTAAATGGTATTCGATAGAAGCTGTACGAAACACTGGGCGTAGCTGAGAATTGCGAGGACGAGACCCTGAGATTGGCGTTTGTTCATCTAGCGAAGCGGTTTCATCCGGATAGCGGAGCGCCAGAAGCCGACGCCGTTAGATTCTCTGAGGTAATACATCTCGAAAATATGCCGTTTCTTGAGATAAAGGAACAAAGTGAGCCTGCTTCATTGTACGATTGTTCAAAGTAGATTGAAAACGCCTACAGAGAGATTCGAAGAATCAGGCACGCTCAGAAAGATGAAGCACCGTTGGAAGCGGAAGAGTTTGATATCAAGGTAGCTATATGTTCGACGTATGTCGCATCTCCCATTTCAATTCTAATTGTCTTTAACTAATCAGAATTCAGGGTGTCCGAGTGGTCAGGGAAATCTGGAAAACCGAGAATTGTCAGGGAAAAGTCAGGAAATTTTACGATTTATCTGGATTCTTTACATCGTTTCACATGGTTTCTGAATAACTTGAAGTTTTTAGAAAATTTTCTTTGACTCTCGGTACACTAATTTTCGGTTTTGCTAGACATCAATTTATTTATAAGCGCGGTCGGCGATTTATATTTTCATCGTCGTGTTATTTTATTTCAATGTTTGTATACGGCAATTTGTAATATTATCCTGACTGAGGTAATGTTTTTCGCAATAAATTTTCTGTATTATTACAGATGCCAGGTATGGTCATGAAAACACTGACGTTGACAATTGTCTTTGTTTTAGCACACAGCGCCGCAGCATCGTCATTACTTGACCTTCGACGTCGGAATCGGCACGCCAAGCAAGCGGCAGAGATTGCACACGATGCAAAGGGCGCAGACGGCAGTTGACAATGTGATGGAGCACAGGCTTAAGAAACTACAAGCCGAAGAACGTAACACGTTAGTCGGTATGGATAAACAGAAAGCCAAGGATATCAAGACCCGTTACGGCATGGATCGTTTGGTGGAAGACTTGATTCAGGATGCGATGAATAAGGGTGAATTCAGCGATTTACCTGGAATGGGAAAGCCATTGAAGACTACAAGCGCTATAAATCCCTACGTCGATTTTGTGACCCATAAACTGAATCAGGTATATTCTACAGAAACTACAAAAACATATTGATTTCAAACGACTTCAAAATAATTAATTCGTTTATGTCGGTCGCAATTGCAGATATTGATAGACAATGGATTCACTCCAGAATGGATACAGCTTTCAAAGGAAATCAGGGAAGAGACTGAGGAATTGAAAAAGAAACTGTCGGAAGCACGTAACGACGTGAACGAGCTGCCGTTGACTCCGAAGGACGCATCGATATGGAATGATAAGTTAGAAAAACTTAAGACCACAACTAGGCAGATAAATAATAAAATTGATAAATATAACTTGCTAGTTCCTATACTCCAAAAACAAATGCTCCATGTTAGACTGGACGAGCTTGCCGAGAAGGCGCTATCAGTACCGCCTTCTAAAAATGTGAAAAAATATGCAGGCACTAGTCCCGATTCAAACGAGAGCATATCCCAGGACTTGTATAATTTCATAAGTAGCTTGTTTAGCAAAAAAATTACTTAGAGGGTAAAAAATGTGATATCTAGATTTCGATAAAGTTTGTATATATATTAAGATATATCGGTATAAAAAATATAACTTTTATGTTTTATAAAATCGGTGTGTAGACACGCAATTTCTAATTCCACTGAATAGTGCCGTCTTCTTTCAATTTTATACGACCGGTCGCTAGATGCTTCAAGGCACGGGGATAGGCACGATGCTCCGCAGTCTTCACGCGTTCTTGCAACGTTTGCTCAGTATCGTCTGGGAATACGGGCACTGCTTCCTGCTCAACGATAGCTCCCGAGTCTACCTCGACCTAATTGATAACAGGAAGAAGATAACAATTCATTAATAATCACGTAATGGTGTCTTCTTATTTAGTTCGATTAAGGTAAAGAAAAATCCGGTCTTTGGTTGTTACCTCGACGAAATGCACGGTGCAGCCCGACACACGCACACGCGCTGCTAAAACATCCTTGTGTGCGTTCGCACCCTTGAAAGACGGCAACAATGAGGGATGTATATTCAACAAAGCTCCTTTCCAATGTTTTACAAACTGTTCCGAAAGAATTCGCATAAAGCCAGCCAGGCAAACTATTTCCACTCCGGAGTCGTGAAGTCGCAGGTTCATGGCTGCGTCGAAAGTCTCGCGGCTTGGATGATCGGTGTACTTAATTACCTACGAATGAAACTAGAATTGTGAAAAGAATATAACGTATATCTTCGTATTTGTAGCTATATGTAACTCGTATTGATTACCCGCGTCTCAATGCCAGCTCTCTCAGCGCGTTTCAATCCTTCGACGCCGGGCTTGTTGGAGATCACCAGGACGATTTCCGCTCCAATGTGCTGATACGGGTCCTGAGTAGCATCAATTAACGATTGGAGATTTGTGCCGCTACCCGATATCAAAACTCCTACTCTTTTAGGAGCGTGGTGGAGCGTTGCAACTAAGCAGGAAACATATCGTTTCATCTCCAGCTCGAGAACGTTTTCAAAGTTCTCTACACGCACCTTAGCCTGGCCACCTACGTCAACGTGAATGAATGAATGTATAACTTAATGTAATTAGTTTTATTGATTATACTCATAGGAGGAATCATTTTATTACCATTTTTATTGACGCTTCCAATAATTACAGGATTTTCGGCTTTTAGCTTAGCTAACACCTGGACCTTGTCTTTCTCGGAGCATATCAAGACCGCACCGATTCCGCAGTTGAATGTCCTTAACATCTCGTCTTTGTTAATTCCGCCTACGCAAATATAAGATATTATGTACCGATTTATGTTAATAATTTTATGCACTTGCAATGTTTAGAAATAGAAAATGTAGCCATGGCGACATATTCTCACCAATTGCTGCTAGCCAGGGAAAGATTGGTAAAATATTCCATTTTTTCGCGTCTAACGTCACACTCAAGTGCTTCGGTAAGATTCTAGGAATATTTTCCGTAAGACCGCCGCCGGTGATGTGCGCGAATCCCTTCACCAGATTGGTTCGCAAGGCAGGAATAACGCTTTTCACATAAATCCTTGTTGGCTCCAACAGTTCCTCGCCTGCGGTATTACATTACTCTCGTCTTAGATCCGTATCATCTTTATGTTATTACAAGCAGTTTAATTTAGAAAATATCTCATACCGATCGTTCGATTGCTCTGTGAGAAAAGCGCGACGTCCGAATATTTCTTTTCCGAAAGTTTTACAATTTTTCGCACCAAACTAAAACCGTTGCTGTGCAAACCGCTGGATGGAAGACCGATTACCACGTCACCCTCTTTCATTTCGTCCACGCGCGGCAGCAAGTCGCCTCTTTCGAGCGCGCCTACTGCAAAGCCCGCCAAGTCGTATTCTCCCTCGGAATACATGTCTGGCATCTCAGCCGTTTCTCCGCCAATCTGGAAATTACAACACCTTGACTAAATAATGAAAATATTCCGTGGAGACAGATTTATCATCTCGCCTAATGCATCTTTCAAAATTAAGTTGCACAATGAACATCACGTTACCAAGGCGCATCCTGCTTGCTTGCAACCTTCGGTAATCCCAGTTACAACTGTCGAGGCTACCTGAACGTCGAGTTTGCCGCAGGCGAAGTAATCCAGGAAAAACAGCGGCTCCGCATTGTGCGCGAGAACATCGTTCACGCACATAGCTACTAAGTCAATACCCACCGTGTCGTGCTTCTTGCATTCAATTGCTACCTAAAGAAGGAAATTTCTGTTAAATGCAACAGATCGATTCTGACAATTTACTACGGAACTTGACACTCACCTTTAGTTTGGTGCCAACACCATCGGTGCCTGACACGAGGATAGGATCGACATAGCCAGCAGCCTTTACGTCAAAGAGGGCTCCGAATCCGCCTATGGTGCCCAAAGTGCCAGCGCGCTTTGTGGACCAAGTAGCTGGCGCAATAGCGGTTACAAAGTGATCGCCGTCGTCGATACTCACGCCACTACTCTCATACGTTAATTGCCCTTCCTGTAAAATAGATCTGAAAGGTTTGATTGTTAATCTCAAGATATTAGTCTAGCGATTTGTAAATCAATCGTTACACCTGGCAATCCCTTTATGCGCAATGTCCGTTCTAAATTGCTTTCCGTCGAACGATATGTACCGAGCGGCTTGGGTAGCTCTAGCCGTGGCCAATGCCAAGGTTGGCGCTATACTGACGGAAATGAGAACTCTTCCGCCTGTAAAAGTGTCGTTATAATTATCTAGGCACTCGTTTCGATATCATTTACCGTGCCGCTACTTACCGTTGGTTACCAATTCGCCCTCCGACGAAACAGCCGTGCCGCTATGGAAAACAAAGTGATCCCGTTTACGCGACACTACGTCAATGCCTGTTATAACTTGACCCTTGGACGAGGACGCCGGATAATTGCGAGATGCTAGAATCACGCCCACGGCGGACACGTTCTTGCGCCAGTGAACAAGCGACGGGCTTAAAGTTCCGTCGCAACAAGCCTGAAATTACATCAAGTGTGGTTTCGTGAAAGAAATCGGACTAAAGGCGAGCGTCAACGCTCGGATGTGTAAAATAAAATCCTTGATGTTGCGCTCTAAATGAATGCGATCTCTAAGAAATTGAAGTCAACTGTACCATCATAATTGTAAACAGGTCCGGCACCAACAGCGGTAGCACCACTTCCGTCTCGGGATCGCCGAATCTACAGTTGAACTCCAAGACTTTGGGACCGTCCTTGGTCAGCATCAAACCGGCATAAAGCACCCCTAGAATATTGGTTTTCGCGTGTAAAGAATACGCGTTCGCGTGCTACTAGCATCGTCGTCGATGAAAAAAAGAAAAAGATTACAAACCGACAAAGGGGATGTTCTCCTTTCTAAGTCCATCAACAGCCTTCTTGAGAACGTTCACCTTCACCTGTTCATATTCCGTCCCGCTTAACAGGTGACACGGACAATACGCTCCCATTCCTCCCGTATTTGGGCCCAAATCACCGTCAAAAATTCTCTTGTGGTCCTGTGCAGGCATCATGGGCACAACGGTCTCGCCTAAGTGCCAACAAAGTTCGACGTGACTGCCGATTTCTCTTTAAAAAAAAAATCATACAATCAGCGTACGCGGTCTTGCCTTACCGTCTGTAAACGCGAGTACAGACACCTCCTCGCCCTCCAAGAGTTCCTCGACAACTACGGTCTCGCCGGCAGCTCCGAATTTCTTATCGTTCAACATTTCGTCTATCGCATGGCAAGCTTCCCGCTGGTCTTTTGCCACCACCACGCCCTTACCGGCCGCCAGACCTGAGGCCTTCACCACGAGCGCCTTGAAGGGAGCGCTGCGGCAAAGGGGAGTGTGTAAGTTTGCATATCGCTCTCCTCGACAAGAGACGCCTCACCTTTCAACAAACTTCTTGGCATCCGCGGCGGAGGTGAAGCTCCGCCACTTGGCTGTAGGGATTTGATGTCTGTCCATAAATTGCTTCGCCCAATCTTTATCGGCCTCGATCTGAGCTGCTCTCTTCTGCGGCCCGAAGCACAACACGCCCGCGTCTTTCAGATCGTCCGCCAGTCCCTGAGCCAGAGGGTCCTCCGGTCCAACCACCACCAAGTCGACGTTGTTGTCCTTGCTCCATTTGGCGACCTCCTGGCAGAAAAGAATGAGATACAATCGACATCGCGCTGACTGCGCGAAGAAAAGATACAGAGTGGCATTTCGCGTGTATACCTTGGTATTCTTCACGTTCAAGTCAACTAACTGCACCTTATCCACCTCTTTGATGCCGGGATTCCCGGGGGCGACCAGGATCTCTTTCACCTACGATCAAAACGAAACGCATTAGTCCGTGTACGTAATGTTGCTGTCACATCCTAAGTTATTTTTTCTAACTTACACGTGGCGAGTGAGACAATTTCCAGCAAATGGCGTGCTCTCTGCCGCCGCCGCCGATTACCAGGACCGTGTGCTGGGTCATCTGCAAAGCAGCTCTTGTAAAAACGGTCTCAATCCGGAATTACTGCGGTATCGACGGCACTCGTCTAAATTGTACAATTTCAGACCGAAATCTCCCTCGCCGTCACTCACCTTGCTTCGACCCGCGGGCTAAAACGGTCGACTCGCTGGTGACTTTCCCGGACAATGCGCCGCTCGGAGCTGCGAGCGAAACGTGGGAGATGCTACAGGTGGTCGTCGGCAACAATGACTGCCGCGACGACGACTACGACGAGCGCCAATCACGCTTTACGCAACGACGGACCGACCGGCACGATTTCTCGCTCTCTGCGGGAGTTAATCTGTAATAAGTCGCGTATCGCTCGCGCGATGACCCGGCGACCTCTCGGCAGGCAATTTAAACGATCTCGGAGGGGGGAAATCGACGAGGACACGCGTTTACATTATTTGTTACATCGTAACATGCAAATAAACACGCGCGTGCCCAACAGAGAACGCGTTTATTATCTCACGGTTCTGGGCGCTTGTAACAATTTTCCTCCCTATACTCTATCGCTATCTCTTTAATCTCAGCTCCGATAGACATATCGGATATGATTTCCAGGCGCTGATTATTCGAGAGAATTGAGAGAACATTATAACTTTGACACGGTGTCGAACGTGCCCGTAAATCACTCGGCGATGCGAGAACTCCGTGTAACGTTCGTCAACGAAATAACTTGGAGATTATTTGGCGGTCGCGAGGTCAAGCGCGTCACTCTTATCGCGATTGTTGTAACTTGTTTGCACTACGGCAAATAACACAACGCAATTCCCATCAATATAAATTCTGTCATTAGATCGAAGATAACTTTGCGACATCGAACAGCTGGCGAAAAAAATTTCACGGGTGATCGCTGTGAACTCAAAAAGGATTCGCTGTTTTAAATAATTTATAAATGGGTGTAAGCGCCATTTGAAATGAGCTTAAACAATTCCTTTTTCGAATCGTTCAGAAAGGATTTCTTAAAAGTATACCTTTCGATTTTTCATAAAATTAAATTAAGTAAAAAGGCGAAAGGAGAGTTAGCTTATTGTCACCAGTAGTGATTAAAAATTGAGACGGGAAACTTATAGTCAACCCAACTGGCTAATTATTTAATCAATTTATTACACAACGTTTCGACCCTATTCTTTTCGGTCCTTTTCGAGTGATACTAAGTTCAATCATCGTCGTCGAATAAGACAGAGTCGAGTTATAAAATATATGTATACGTGTGAGTACTGTGGTAGCTGGACTCGAACATAATAAATTGATTAAATAATTAGCCAGTTGGGTTGACTATAAGTTTTCCGTCTCAATAAGTAAAAAGAATTAAACGAAAAGAAATTCCTTTTGTATAAAAAAAAAGGACTTGGAATTGGTAACATAAAAGAAAAATGCACTCTACAGCAAAACGTATCAATTAATAAACAATTACGATTTCAAAAACATTCGAAGAATCCAGAACGCGCGTGCATATGCAACACGTGTTAAAATATTCGCAGATTCAAAACGCGTGGGGCGAAAAAAAATTATCGAGAAAGCACTAAGCTCTACGCTGAAATTCGAGTTCTAGATCGGCCAAAGCTGGCTTTAAAGACATCGAAGGCGCCTCGACGTACAAAATTGGTTGCAGACTGCAGTCCGCATGAAGTTCGTCCGCTCGACGATATTTTGTTCGCGTGACGTTCAGCGAGTCGGCGAGATAAACGCGGCGAGACGTAATGATCGTAATCGCACGACGCGACATCACAAAGGCACTGTCCTCGAGATAAAATCGTGCGCGAAGACGCGGAAGCGGCGCGGTAGGTCACTCGACAGGGGGTGGTGGGTCATGTACGCTACCGTGAGCGGAAGCGCATCCACGTGCCGCTTCTGGCCGCGCGGACTCGCGCGCATTATTCGCGGCTCGAGGCTGTCGACGCCGGCCGGGAAGACTCCAACCGAGGTGGACAAGGTGTTGGCGGCGGAGGTCGCGGGCATCGCGGCGTGCAAAGCGCCTGTGAAAGTTAGTCACCCCGCACTCGGGACGAGGCGTGAACATCTTCTCTCTGTCGCGCAGGAAAACGCCAGGATTTCCCTGTGCGACACGCAGAGTTTCTGGAGCGACAACGTCCTATACGCATCCTTTTGCTAAACGCCGCTTTAATCACAGCCTCACTCTGGATGCCTCAGGCCCGGTTTCACCAAACGTCACTTAACTTTAGTCTTGGTTTAATTCACGTTTGTCTCTTTCTAAAGTAACGGTTGGAAAGAGACAGAGAACGAATTAAGCTAAGCTTAAAGTTAAGCGACGTTGGTGAAGCCGGGACTAAGGATCTGTCCCTTGTAGCTGCGTAACGTTACACTTTTTAAAAAATAAATAGACGTACGAGTCCGATGGAGAGAAAAGATAGGAAAGATGAGAGAAGTACAAAAAATTTTGCTACAAGGAGCAGACCTTATGATATGTACAATTGTCAAGTTCTTTCGCGCGTAATATGTTGCGGTATGAAAAGAAAGGTGTCTCCGATCGGTGGAGCTTTGGGAGGGAATGTACTTAGACGCGATTATTTAGAACCGATCTTTCGCAGGAGGCAAAGGCCGAGCCGAGGCTGCAGACTGTGCGCGTGTATCGATGGAATCCGGAAACGCCGAAAGTGAAGCCGTACATGCAGCAGTTCAGCGTGGATCTGAACAAGTGCGGCACGATGGTGCTGGACGTGTTGACGTTTATCAAGGCGCGGCACGACCCGACGTTGTCCTTCCGGCGGTCCTGCCGCGAGGGCATATGCGGATGCTGCGCGATGAACATAGACGGCGTAAACACCCTGGCCTGCATAACGTAACTCGGCATTCCTATACGTATCTATGTTTCGGGCGACAGGAGTATCGAGTTCTTTGCGTCTCGCCCCTGGAAACTTTGATGTATCTTTGGTGGTCCGCACGTTTGGGATTTCTGGGTTCGAATCCTCGGGACATTTAGGACACTTAAAGGCCTAAAACTCAAAATGATCGCGTTAATTTTACATGTTGTACTTTACATTTGGGGCCACAGTTACCTTACCAGCCTTCTCGTCGAGAATAGGACTTACTTCCGGGATAAGTCTCTCTTTTCGAATCGCGCTTAACATTTGTCGGAAATCTTCAGAAAGGCGAAAGAATCTCCGCGGCCGCTGGTGATCTACCCTCTACCGCACGCGTACGTGATTCGAGACTTGATACCAGATATGGAGCAGTTTCTTGGGCAATTCCAAAAAATCGAACCGTATCTAAAGCGACCGGGTGAGGACGACTTCCTCGGTATGCGGCAGCTTTTGCAAAGCCCAAGGGACAGGAGCAAGCTCGACGGCTTGTACGAGTGCATAATGTGCGCATGTTGCACGTACTCGTGCCCTCCTTACTGGTGGCTCGGCGACAAGTACTTGGGTCCCGCGGTGCTCCTGCAGGTAACGAGTCGACATTTTTCTGCGGCAAACAAAACGAAGGGGGCGAATCATTATTCATATACGTCCATTCACCTACTAGGCGTACAGGTGGGTGATAGACTCGCGGGACATGGCACACAAAGAGAGGCTGGCAAAGCTGCGGGACTTTTATTCGGTTTATCGATGCCACACGATCTTCAACTGCACCAAGACATGCCCAAAGGTGAGTCCTCAAACAGCATTCTCCATCGTCGTTTCTCTCGCCTGCGATACAAAAGGATCTTAGGGTCTCTCGAAAGAGGTAAAATATCCAAATAGTAATTTTACTCGTCGCACGATATTGCTGTGCATCCAATAGGGTTTGAATCCGGGAAAAGCTATAGCGCAGCTGAAACGTTTGCTGGCCGGACTTGCGAAGAAAGAGAAGCCAGACCTCGACACGACGCTTCCGAATCCCTGCCACGGCGAAGAGCAATATTCGTGCAGAAAGGAATAAAAAAAAAGTAGGACAATACAGTTCGCGAAACGTTCATCTTTATTGTATAGTGTCCATCACTCGGAATAAAGAATTTTGCATAATTGAATATTAGGTGATTTTGTTATACTGGGTATAACAGGTCATAAACTCATAAGCACAATTAAATGCATAATAAATTAAACTTCTATATCTGGCATTAAATGTAAAACAGTCTTAAACTCTCTTTATTAATACTGCTATTGTTCTTGAAATATCTTAAATTTCCTAATGAAAAATCACATTGGCACTTAAACGACGAACTTTGCAGTGCGCGTTTCTTATTCTATGTATTGTACATCGTAGGTGAAATCACAATACTTGTATGTCGTACTCGTCAAATTGAGACATGTTAAATAATACGAGTATTTCGCGCAACTAATGTACTTCATATGTACTTTGTCACTTACTTTATATATCTTACTATTTTATGATTTTTTTAATGCTCGAATTAATCATAAAGGATATTTAATTGTATTTATAATCAAACAAAATTAATGTTGTTATAAACATTATGTTGTACCATAGTTGTACTATTAGGTCACTTATGTGCAACTGATTTTACAAACTTAATGAGATTTCCGATATTTCGATCTGTATGAAATCTATTGAAAGACTGTTTTTTAATGTAACAAGTAGGTAACATAATCCACGTATCACAATGCAATCAACAAGATGTCAGACCTCATCAAGAGGACACTATTCTTCTATCTTACTTCTAGATTCGTCTCTGTCCTGCGCGTTTCTCTTCAGAGCTGAAGCCGCGGACGTTTGTAATTGACATTCGCAGGTGCTATATTCTCGTCGTTCCCCATGTCAAAATTCGATATCAATCTGTTCACTTTCATTCGCATCATCGTGTCTCGTAGCCACGGATGTAACAAGATCTGCGGCACCGTTATACGTGCCTTCGGATCCACCGTCATCATACGTCTAATCTAAAACAACGAGATGTTCCGTCAATAACTGCAAAGTCAATTACAGTTAATAAGAGTGTTATTTCGTTACCAGATGTTTAGCATTTAGCGACACATCTTGAAATTTCTCTGGGTAAAACATGTATATTCCACCTCTGATTTGCTCCTCTAAAGTATCAAGTTTAAAAGGAACCACGCCACTTAAGCAGACGTACAAAATCACTCCTAAACTCCATACGTCAACCTGAAAGAATTTCAGTGAAGTAGAAGTAGAACGTTTCTCTTATATCTTCATAATTCAAGATTATTTCTTGGGGTACTCGATAGCTCAGAGGTAGAGTATCAGTCTGTAAACCAAAAGATCCAGGTTTGATTCCTACAGCCCCCGCATATTCAAGTGGAGAAATATTATTCCACTAAGATTTTTACTACAAATCGTAACTTTTAAATATGTAAACAAAGCCGAGATTGGTTGCGAAGATTGAAGATTATTTGCTTTGTAAAGAGAACTTGGAGATTTAAAATGTATTCTGCACTGGATCCTTCTGTCACATTCCAGACAAGCTAGTGCTGCGATTTTGAGGAAAGTCGAAAATTCGCAATCAAGAATCATTTATCATGTAAATGTACGCACTTGACTTGTATAGGAGCTGCGTCCACGGGTCGCTAGAATCTCGGGGGCAACGTACATAGGAGTCCCGCAGAACGTCCTCATCATAGTTTGGGTGTTCACGAACTTTGACATGCCGAAGTCCGATACCTTGACCAAAGGATTATCCGAGTGGTCCTTCAGCAGAATATTCTCTGGCTGTTGAATTTTATTGTTCATTAAATAATAATACTGACATATTCACGTGACATTCGGCTAAGTGTCCTAAATTGCACCTTCAAGTCTCTATGCGTAATTCCCATTTTGTGGAGGTAGTGGACAGCGAGTACAACTTGATAAAATATCAGTTTCGCGCAAGACTCGGACAGTCTACCCTGTTTTTTAATTTTTTCGAAGAGCTCGCCACCTTCCATTAGCTCGAGAATGATGTACATGGCTTTGGGCGTATCGTGGATATCCTCCAAGTGAATTATACAGGGCTGAAAGAAAAATTCCATCGGTATTCGAACTGCGAGCGGCAAGGAAAATGCTGCGAGGACGCGCGAACTTACATGCTTCAGCTTCTTCAATATGTCAACCTCGTTCTTGACGTTCGCCGGATTATTGAGGATGTTTCCATCCGTGGAGTCAAAGCAATTTTTTTGTATAATTTTTAAAGCAAACCTTTTGGAGCCGTCCTTGGTAAACAGCAGCCTCACTTCGCCGCAAGCGCCAGCTCCCAGTTTACGGCCGATCGCGTAATTCTGCTTCAGCTCTGGTTGCAACTGGCAAGCGATCTCGGGCGCATTTATATTCAAGAATAAAAAAACTGCAATTTTAACAATCTCTACTACATCTGCTTGGCCATTTATATCCAGCGTTGATGTAAGACACGAGTACCTGTGAGATTATCCCTGGATAAGGCTATCTCGGACAAATGTTCGATGATGACACGGTTTCCACGACCAACCCGGGCCTTATTGACAAAAGTCCCATTGGAGCTCAAATCTTCCAGATACACCACAATCTCGTTTGTGTTTTGAATGCGCTCTCTGTATATGCGAAAGTGGATCTTGCTGATCGTATGCAGCCACGTCAGGCATATCTGATCTAAAGTTAGACAAAGGTTGCAGTCGACGGAACGCCCCACGGTGTAACTGATGTCCTCTTTCATATCTGAGATAGGGCAGACCAGACAATTTAATCACAAATTACTCGTCTAACTCAAATTATATAATTATTTCTGAAGGAACCAGGTTTCAAGCATGACTTCTACCGGCGCGAAAGGCCGAAAATCTTACCCAGACTTGGTATGGATGTTCGTGTGGAGCACAGCCTTCCCCAGGCGACCAACTTCGGCTGCTGGCTCGCCGTGTCCACCGACTGCGACGGCAGACCATCCGTGTTCTGGGTGTCGGGCAGACTGGCAGGAATCTGGTTTTGCGACGCCATTTCTACGTCTTCGTCGCGGGGTACAGAACTAGCTCAAGACTCGGCCAAAAATCGTATTGGAACCACGAGCGGCGCGAGGACGGCTAACCCATACCTGCAAAACTCGCCGATTCGCGAAAATTGTATCGCCCGCGGATCGTACCTCGAGGGAAACCGGCTCACAGAGCGACTTTGTGTCAGATACAGACTGAAAACGGCCAGCGTAAAGCGTCCCCGAAGATCTCGACGAGCCAGCGGAAATCCTCGCGTAAACAATGGGTCTGCTTCAGTATTAAAGTCTGCTGCTTTATAGCTGAACTGTCTGCACTAGTCCAGAGTTTATCTTTCTCCCTCTGCGTTGGAACGAGAAACATAAAACTCTGAAGTGCAGTTAGTGTAAATGTAGAGAAGGGGAGAGCGTGCTTCGAATAACGGAAACATGCCGCGGTAGCACCTTCGGTCGATAAACAAGCGAACAATATTACCGACCGCGGTCGCGTAACCTTCATTGCCGACGCTAATAAAAAAACTAGATATTTTACATTTAATAAATTTTATATGCAAAAAGAAGAGAAAGATAATTCTATGGTCAATCGGTTGAGCTCGTACTAGTCCTTCAACACAGTCTTTTTACGACAGTCGCGTTAGACTTAAAGTCTCTCTCTTCCATTATCGTTAATTTAAAATGATTTTTGACAAAATTTTGTTGCTTATAACTTAAAAAGGGGTCGAAACTACCGTCACTAATCTCGTTCTAAAATTGTCCTACGAGGAGCACGCGTAGCACTTTTCAGGATCACAATAAACGTCCGCCAGTCCTGTGTATTACAAATGACGAAGAGTACTTTATTGTAAATCTACTAGTCGGTATCATTATTACCCAAGCAGGTGGAAAGCGGAGTCGCGGGGGCCCGTCGTGACGGGTCTCACGGCAGGCGACGCTACAACATGACTTGTCGTGTGTTTTTTCTCTGCATCTCTCTTTTTCTCTCTTTTCCTTTTATTACATCATCTACGTATAAACACGCACAGCGGGTGTTTGGGATGCGTTTCGCTTACAATGCTACGCTGCTAATTCTCTCTGCCCTATATTGTACTATATAAAATACTGTCATGCACATGTCGATTAAATATGTTCTACAGCGGAGGGAGGGAGCCTTAACAGCCTATCGCTCTGATCGAAGCTACGCAAAAATTTTAGCGGGTATACGACGGAACCGTTTGCGCGCATAATCGGGCAATACAGATTGAACACCTGCAAACGTTAAAAGGAAAAAGAAATCAAAACGGAAATTATGCCGTTCCGAGAATATACGCGAGTCGTGTAGGTGCGATATATGATACTTGCAGCATATAACGATCTCAGTGACAATTCTGTTTATTATTCACCAAAATAATTTAGTACCACATTAATTGAGGGACATCTCTTCTCGGCGGGAGGGGGGGGGGAGATTTGTTGTCTTATACTCGGCTGAATGAACAGTGGGAGAAAAGTAGCAGTCGGTAATTAAGTGTACCGCGTTGGAAAAATCATCCTTAATTAAGCAATTATCGATTACTGATTTCTCTTCCTTGCGGATTACACGTTTTACACACGTGTGCGAATGTCCCTTCTTATTCGAATGCCTGAAAACTCGGACGCTTTGCCTCCTGTACCTACGCCTCTGTGTACGCGTATATCTGTGTATGTGTGTACGTGTGTCAATCGATCGTTAGCTTCGCAGTTCTCCCCGAAGTCTATTTTATATCCTTATCCTTCTTCTCTATCGTCTACGATAATGTCTGCGCGCTACCGCTAACACTAGTTAGAACTAAAAGGATACAGCTAGTAACATCTTCCGCAATGGAACCCACGCAATGAACTACGCGCTTCTGAAAACTTTCACGCGTTACGCTTCACGAGTCACCTCTCCCGTCTCGGCTCCACTCGGACGCCTCGAGCCCCAGTCGTCGCATTCCCCGGATTCGGCTCACCCGTCGTGTCACATTGTCATAGACTACGTTTACACAGCGGCTTATAATCCTGCTTAACTACCGTGTACCATCCGAGTTTCAAAGTTCTTCTATCGATCATGATCATTTAAATAGGGGAGCCTATTTTGTTACTCTGAACATTAATCAATCTCTTTTGATGTATATATGTATATGTACCTATACTAGAAATTGTAGCGTAAGTATCAGATAAGACTTATATTTAAGTAATCCTTATAGTCGAAGAAAAACATTTTGGATCGGGTAGTTATTAAACCGGATTATAAGCCACCGTGTAAGCGTGATCATTATCGTAACGTTAGGCGCACGGCGGGCAAATCGATCGCCGTTCTACATTGCGGGCGCTCCCGCCAAATGATCCCGGCCTGACTCTCTCGACCCCCTCGGTCCACATTGAGAAATAAACGAGACATTTCAAGCGTTGCGCCGCGTGTTACACTTAGCCCTCGGTCAACCTCGACTGACGCCTCTCCCCACACTCGGAGAGATTCCGATTTATACATAAGCGTATGTAAATCTAATGAAAACTCCAAAGGGGCGCGCCGTTTCGAGAGAATCCGCATAGACGCGTAACAATATGTTCGACTGAGACGGTCCTTGCCATACTACTTCCTTTTATATACCACTGCCGTTCGATTTATATTACTTGCGACGTGTTAGGTGTATTACGTGTCCCAGAAAAACGGACGTTTATTAATGCGGCAAATGTGACAACAACTCATCAGGGCACACGTGAGCCGACATTTGACGATCATTAACACTCGATTCTTTGTATGGTACAAAGACACTACGCGTCTGTACATGTGTGTTTGTGTGTGTGTGTAAGTATGTATGTCTGCCGCGCGTGTAATATGCTTATATATATTTATATATATATGTATATATGAGTAAAGAAGGAGCAACATCTTTCGTTCTCTCAAGAACTCTCGAGGAGAGCGCGCGAACAATACAAGTGACAACGAATCAGTTACCATCGTAGTTGCGCGGTGGTGACGCCACAGCCGAAATTTTCGCCACTGCCGGCAGAAAGTTCAAGAGATTCGACGTGTTCTTACGCAAGGGTCATAATCGAGGAGGACGATCTTCTTCTCTCTTTGCGCGTGTACGTCGTATGCGTATGTACGTGTGTGTACGATCAGCTGGTAACTAATACTTTTAACGGATACATTGCATAAGCGGGCGAAGAGAGCAAGAGTAAATCAAAGTTAGCGAGAAACACTCGAACTCAACGACATCGAATTTCGCGCTGCGAACAAAGACACGCGTATGTATTATGTACAGAATAATGCCTACCACACAATTGCACAACCGCCTAAAAGGAATATAACTCTTGTAATTGTATTTATGGCATTAATGACCACCCGCGTCCCGTAGGTGATCCGTAATGAGAACTTCGTGGGAGCGTCCTCTCGATCGTTTGATCCTCGTGACCGTTTCTCGATTCACTCTCCTCGAATAGTGCAGTTCATTGCCGTAAAACGATGTAATTTATCATATAATTACTAATTATACTTTATTTTATAAATTAATTAAAGAGCTCTTAACCATACGTGTTTATGTGTGTTTATGTATAATAATAATATTAATATTAATAGCATATGTACGATAGCTTTTTTGTAGCAGCTTACTCTTTCGGCCGATTCCATTAAAATCGATGCGCGTTCGTCTTTTCTCTCGTTTTATACTTCCGTTCGCTTCCGCACACGACGTCCGACGGAAAATCTAAAATTCGGTGACTAGCGGCACTCCCAAATCTTCACCGTTTGATCGACGCTCCCGGTGACCACGTAAGGATGGTTCTTGTGGAAATCTACGATCAATGAAATCGAATGTACATAACGGCAGTATAAACCCGCGTCTGATAATTCAATGAAACCGGGGAAATGTTGCGTTTCGAGCTGGCAGAGAAGTGAAAGGGAGATGTGTACGAACCGACAGAAGTGCAGAAGTGAAGGTGCGCGTCGAGGGTCTTCATCACTCGCTTATTGCGCGTGTCCCAGACTCGCAGCGTCTTATCGTCGGACGCGCTGACGATAAACTTGCCGCCAGGATGGAAGACGATGCATCGCACCCAGTTGTCGTGCCCGACGAGGGTGAAGAGGCACACCCCGGCGCCGACGTCCCACACGCGGATCATCTTGTCCCGCGAGCCGGAAGCGAGGAAGGGCCCCTCGTGCGCGCCCTTGTTGTCCGCCCCGGCCGCCGCGTTGATCGACGCCCTCGCGTTCTCCGGCGCCCATGCGATGCACTCCACCACGTGCTCGTGATCCCTGAACTCGACCTGGCAAATCCCAAGACTTTGCGTCACGAATGAACTGGCCATAAAGGGACGAGAGAATTCGACAGGATTACCTTCGTCTCCTTCGTCGCCACGTGCCACACCCGAACAGTCTGATCGTTCGAGCAGCTGGCGATGAGCTCGCCGCACGGGCTGACTCGTGCCATTCTCACCCACTCCCTGTGTCCCGTGAGCGTCTTTACGCAGTAGCCCGTCGCCACTTCCCAGATCTTGATGGTCTTATCCCTGGAGGCGCTCACGACGAAGTCGCCCTGCGGCACGAACGCGACCGAGTTGACATTGTGGTCGTGGCCGTGCATGGTCTTGACGCAGGCGAACGACTGATGGAAATCCCACAGCTTGATGGACATGTCCGCGCTGCAGGAGGCGAGCAGCTTGCCCGAGGCATCGAACGCGATGTCCTGCACGCTATCGGTGTGGCCCTTCAGCGTTCTCTCGAAGTCACCGCTCTCAAAGTCCCACACCTTGGAGGACAGAGAGCATCAATTTAATTTATATTAATGCAAAATTGTGTCTTTGGTCTGAAACTTTTGTGAATCCAGCGAGCGAACGTTGTTGTCTACTCGCGCGACGTTCTCACCTTAATGGTAGCATCTTCGCTGGCGGATACTACGAGACTAAAAACCGGGTGGAAAATAACTCTATTGATAGGGGCTCTGTGTCCGGACAGGCTGAACTTCTCCGGCGGCCTCGGTATCCATTCGGACGGCGATCTCTTGCCGCGCGTCGGCGCGCCTTCTATGAACTCCTTCTCGGCCTCGGAGAGTTTGGATTCCAGTTCCATTACCTGCGACGCATTACAGTGCGAGTGCATACAAAGAATCACTTGGCTTAGACGATCGAGTACGCCGTTCGACTCTTTCGCGCGCGCAACGCCATCGAGGGAAATTATCACTCGAGATGAAAGGGCCTTTACCTTTTTCTGCAACCGTATGACCGAGGTCCACTTCTTCTCCAAGAGGCCTCCGTACTTCCTCTCCACCTCTCCCGGCATATCGGCCTCCTTCTTGAATGCCTCCAATGCATCTTGATAGCCGTTCGTGCTAAGGTAATCAGCGATCGCCTTATTTCTAAAAAGCGTTTGGTTTCTCTTAACAACAGCGCGGGAACTTTGGAGCAGAAAGAAAAAGTGCTATTCTCTTTATTATAGCTTGGCGTAAATAATACTCGAGAAAATTTTAGACGGCGATTCCCCGCGAACTTTCTTGTTCGCTTATCCGTACGCTCTCTTGCGGGGTCCAGCAAGAGGACCAGAGGAGGATAAGAGGGAGAAAACGTGTGTGTTGGGTGATAGCTTTAATCGCCGATTGTTCCGCGTTGGCGTCGACCGCAGCCGCCTGTTTATAACGCCGGAGATAAAGATAAAATGCCGTACCTGCGATCCGACACAATGGACGGGGAAGAGGAGGGGGGGGGGGGACCGTAAGGCAGGTTGGATACGTGGGAAAGAGATTGAAAGTCGGGCAAACTTGTGCCAGGGTGAAAGGCCTCGAGTCGGCCGTTCGTCTCTATCCACCTGACTGCTCCACGTGACGGCAAATTTATCGCTCGCGGCGTGCCTCGCGATCTCCCGTTTCGCGCGTCCAGCACGTGGTGCGTAGGAGGACTCGCTGGATGCGTGTAATCGCGAGGAAGAAAAAAAACCCCCCGGGAAGAAAACAAGACCGGCTTTGTCTTGGCAGAAAGCTGAACCACGCGCTAGCCACTTCCGCCATTCGCCTGCGCTGCAACGTCGTATGACGACGTTGACATTCGTTTTAACGGATGGAAAAAGGTCACTCGGACTCCACGGCGCGACTCAATATTAGCCGAGAGTAGGAACAAAACAGTGCAGATAACAAAGCTGATGTATTTGCGCGTGTTGAGTATTTTATGTAAAGGTAAAAAATGCGGACGAAAATTTTATCCCGGCGAACAACAACAGAGAGACATTTAAATTTGCAATAGCGTAAGTTGAGTGCGTAGAACTGATTGCAGAAACACGTAAGTTTCGTGTAAAGGCAGAACCGGTAGGCTTATCCGCCGTCAGGTGATATCGAGGCAAATTGCAAGTTTGTCTGCACGAATGGCAATAAGCGCTAGCGTAAACCTGTGGAACGTGGGTGTAATTCAAAGAAGGCTCCGAAAATGGGAGATAATCCTGAGCAACGAGACAAGAATCGAGAATCGCGTCGATAAAAAACGAAAGATTTCGCGGCTCGTGAGACTCACTCGTTAATTGCATTCCAGTGTACAATCAACTTAGAACGTCCTATTAGAGACGTCCTACGGGCGTTAGATTGTAATCCGCGGCGGCTAATTACGCACTAACGCGCGGAAAATTAAGAAAAGGCCAACGCGGATAATAACATGGGTACCTTCACAGGGAAGGGGGGGGGAGTGCTTAACGGTGTGAGAGATCCTGCATTTGCTCCGGAGAAATGTGTGTAATGCGTACATGCCGCAGGTACAAAAGTGGAAGAGACTGCTTCGAGCCAGGCAGGTGGGGGATCATTGTCTCCGCGGAGTGCGGAAGTCAGCGGAAGGCGATCCGGCACCAGACACCCGCGCGTCGGGTTCGTGCGGGAGCACGGGAAAATGCAGGTACGACGCACGCACGTGACAATGGGTCGCGCACATCGCGAGGGAGAAGGAGCGAGAGAGCGCGAAAGAGAGAGAGAGAGAGAGAAAAGGAGGATAAGAGGATACTCTATGAATATATGAAGGCGTTGTAACGGCGTATCAGCACGTTGTTACGTACAAATGCGTGCCCTAGGGGAGCCGTACGCAAGCGGCCGTGCGAAAGCCGTGGCATTGGAAATTCATTCGCCGACGAGCGCCGAGGATCGGTTTTGTAATTTATTCTGGGAACATGCCCGCGCCGGGGAATATCCCCGTCGCCGTTGGGTCTTGGATATTTACTCTCGGCGCTCATGTCTACAAATGGCATTATTATGGAGGCATCGCGGAAGAGAGAGATAGAGAGACGTTCCCGTCTCCTTTTGCGCTTATTCTCCTACGATCGCACGGGGATACATGGTCATCAGGCCGCACGGTCCATTCGCGTCATGTCCTACGCGGGTTCTGTAGCCCGCGCGAGGAATGAGACTGCACTTGTGTCGCTCGTTGGCGAGAATTCTGGGACGTGACGGTGGAAAAAGGAGAGAGAGAGAATCCTCGCGCGAGTACAGATGATGTCCTTACGGCATTAAGGACGGCAAACAAAACGTTTTCCGGAAATTGGACGCTGACAGGGATGTTGTTTGCGCCGCGCGTAGAGCCACGAGCGTAGCGAGTACACGGGAATAACACCTGCGGCAATCGAAATTAAACTGCGCCGCTCTCCGATCGCCTCTCCTTTCATTGTTCATAGCATAAATTAAAGATAGAGCCGAGAGAAGAGGCCGCGATCGCTACCGGCGATATGACGGCGCGTTTCGAGAGGTGCTCTCGTATACAAAGATCGGAAAGATAGACGGCGAGCGTAACGGTACAATAGAACTTTAGAGCCGCGAAATTCTCTCCTTCCCCTTCCCCCCCCGCCCAGACCCTCTTCGCTCTGCAGCGCGAGTGCGCGATGAATTGCACGAGACGTGTTGTGTTTCGGCTCGCCGCAGGAATGCAGATTGAGGCGCAGAGAGCGTCGCATCCCGAGGCGCTATCCTGAGCTCCTCGGCGTGAAGGTGAAGAATACGTGAAAATGAATAGGCAGGAAGGCGGAGGGTAATTCATCCCGTCTGGCCCTTAGCGTGTAAAACAAACGCCGGCGTCAGCGTGAAATGGTCTCGTTGCTGTCTATCACGTTTAAACCTCACGAGTAAGCGTCTACGTCGAATTGACTTTCCTCATCTGCAATTGCACGGTATATATTACAGGATCAAATTTAACCTCGTAATTTAAACATATTAAATTACTTATCTTTTATACATTCGCACGTGCAGCTCTCCTAGAGATTTCACAATCGTTTTGTAACAATTTCAGTACGAACACGCAGACAGTTTGCGTTATTAATTTATACCAGAAAAACAAAGTGCGCCTGACTTATTTTTATAAGGAGCTGATTGTCACCGGTAATGTGACACCACATTGTACCACAGTGCTCACACGTATGCATATATTTTACAACTCTACTCTGTCTTATTCGACGACGATGACTGACTTGGGTGCGTTGCTTAACTTTAGCCGTTTTACATATTAACCTACATTATTTCATAATTGCGTTTGTTGTTGATTTGCAGTATCACTCGAAAAGGACCCAAAAGAATAGGGTCGAAACGTTGTGTAATAAATTAATTAAATAACTAGCCAGTTGGGTTGACTACAAGTTCCCTGTCTCAAGTATTTTTATAATCAATTAAAAAACCGATATACCGAACAGGACGGTATACTTGAAGAAATTTATAAAACCGAGACACCTAAAGAATCCTACGAGGATATCTAAAGGTCGAAGAGCCAGTGATGTATCGTCTATCCGGATGGTGAAAACGGCAGGCAAGTTGGACGGCAGTTCCCCTATTAAAAATGCTAATCGACCTTTCATTCAACCCTCCGTATCGGGTTTACGGGGAAGCCCGGAAGCGAGAGTCGCACGTCCGAGGGATCGCCAGCCACTTGCTGTAAGAATTACACGTGCGCCGAGGGTCGGAAGGCGCTCTTAGGAAGAGAACAACATGGATGCGCGAAGGTACACCTGTGCCAATCGATGAGAGCCCTCTCCCTCAGGCGGACGGAGAGCCAGTCCTCTCTCACCCCCTACCCTCGCCTCATTCCGTGGGTTCGCCGTCGCCGACTCATTCCGCGGGAGTTATCGATCCCGCGGTCCGCGCGTGCTCGTCAGACACCCTCACCACCCGCGACCACCGCCCCCGCCGCTCGCCCCCGCTCGTCTCCCTCCGACTCCCCGAGAGCGACCGATCGACGAGCGATTTTGCGTCATAGGAATTAGTCGGCATAGATCGAGGATACGATCGATGCCGACGGTGTCCCAGTTTGACGTTGCCGTGTCGCGCGAGGCTCCCTTGCGCGAGGAGGGCGAGACGGGACCAGCGAATTAATTATAAAGTTTGCTTAAATAATCCAAGAGCTCAATCCGAGGCTTTCACGGGGATTCCAGTACTTGGCTCGCAAGGAGGAAGAGGGAAAAGACTTGGACATCAAGGAATTTCAGTCTAACGCGATCCGAAAATATACCTGTCGGACATCTGAAACAGAGCTATTACTTATTGCAAGCGTATTTCAGCCTCTTCGAGGCCTAAAGTCTCGCCGGAAGGAAAGCAAGATTCGGCTGTCTTAATGCCGCCTCGCGAGACGTCGTGGACGAGAAGAGAAATGACCGGTGGCGCAAAAACACGCGTCTCCTTGAGAGATAAGTGCGAATTGGAACGTGCCGAGATAATGGCGACCCGATTGGCGCGACGTTCGATTCTCCCGCGTGTGACGCGCGACAGCGCTCGAACAGGAAGCACCAGTCACACGGGGCGAATGCTCGACGAGCTGAAGAACTCTCGGGCTCTGGAGATCGTTATTTGCCTGCGCGGGTGACTCATATGTACCGCCGGGTCTTCCAACTTCTCCGTGTGAAATCGAAGGCCGAAGGCATGAGAAAATTCAAGAGCGACTCCCATGCAACTCTCACGCCTTCGCGCGCCCACAATTATGCAAAATGTAATGAACCAATTGCATAGCTCATTACAGCTCGATCCTCAATGCCAATTAACGATGCCAAGGTGGCTCGCTGGATTGCCACACTACGGCACATACCTGGAACGTATTTTCTAGTGAAAGTTTAGGAAGAAGTTGAAATTTTAACAACAGAAAAATTGCGCCAATAAATTCAAATCGAGTACAAGTTACATACCACATTGCGGCATATACCTAGAATGTTTTCTAGGTGAAAGTTTTAGGGGGGAAGTCAAAATTTTAACAGAAAAATAATGCCAATACATTCAAAAGCCACCATATCACGGCACGTGCCTAGAACGTATTTTCTGGCGAAAGTTCAGGTGGAAGTCGAAATTTTCGCAACAGAAACGTGACGCCAAGAAATTCAAATCGGGACAGTTGGCTGAAACTCTGGGAAACGCGTTCGCGAAGATTTTTCCTAAGTAGCAACTCTACTCCTCGCGGAAGACAAAGGAAAGATTGGGGCTATTATTATTGCGAGGGGGGACTTTAACGTGGGTGGCGCGAGACACGGGGGGAAACCTTGCGTACTTCCTCGATTGATCCGGTTTCCCCGGACTATACGCGTTCGCGTGTATCAACCCTTTGCGGAGCTCGGTAGGAAGGAGAATAGGCACGGGGCTGCAGCCGAGGGAAGAGATTGAGGGAAGCCGTTAAGCGCACGTAAACACCGCGTTATCGGAAACACGCAAAACCTCGGAGTACCGCGAGGTGATTTTACGGCGCGCGCCGGGTCAACTTACAACTCCTCCCTCTGACGTTGAGACAGCACCATTTTCATGATCCTCGTGTGTGACCTGGCAGGATACCTCGATGGTGATTCCGCGGGAGCGCGACTAGATCTTCCAGTCACCTCTCAATGATCTCAGTGCCCCGCCATCGGTATTGCCTGCGACAAGAAAATCACACGCACGCGTCAGCCGAGTGTCGTCCACACTTACATCTCTAATTCACATTTATTTTCGCACACGTTCGATAGAGCGTGCGTTGAAATTCAAGGAAAAATTTAATATGACTAATGTAATTGAAAGAATAATTAGTTTATGATTCAACGTAGTTTAATTTCGAAGTTGATTATATATCCAATAAAGTGAAATGTATATCCAGGTCCTCGAGATGAGTTTACGTTGGGAAAGAGAGAAATTTAGCCATCGAACAGCGTCAATCAACGTGTTTGCGGAAACGTAGCGATATATCACGTGACAGAGATACTTGTCGGCTAATATTCGCCTTCTCTGCATATAAAATTACTTCGGAGAATACGCGGGAATACATTGTCTATCGCGTTACATCGCCGCGTCAGCGCGGCGGTCGTATTTTCCTATCGCGGGGGTACAAGGAGGCTAACAAAGTGGTGGCGTGAGAGCCGACCGCGTGCCGAATTGTCTCCGCGCGGGATAATATAACGCGCGCGTGCACAATATACCGCCTGAAATCAATGTCGCGGTTTATTTTACTTTCGTTTCGCGGGAGAGAAACCCGACGCTCGCGCGGTGGCCCGTCTCCTCGTCAGCTTCTCGCGAGCTTTGCGCGGAAAGCGGCCGCGCTCCCGGCCCGAGCTTGGGGGCTCGATTTCGCGGCGCGATTTCGCCGCGATCGATAGCACTTTTCACCGCGCCGCGCCGCACGAAAGGGAAAGGCGGCTCGAAAAAGTGAAGCTCGAAATCACAACGCTGACGTGGCGGAATAACGAGCGCGTATCCGCGCGCGCTCGATTTTTATCTACTATATGTGTACCCCATAAACATATTAACCATGGGCTGCTTACGAGGCAGTGGGATCATAGTAACCATAGCGGGTTTGGGAGGTGAAGCCAACGGCACGCGATACTATTTTGCCTACTGGATTCCTTACGAGAGCCAATCAGGATTCAGCCTCAAGTCACCTGATCGAAAACTCTGCGTCCTGATTGGCTCTCGTAAGCAATTTAATAAGAAAAATAGTATCGTGTGCCGTTGGCTTTAATCCTGATTGGATCTCGTAAGCAATCCAGTAGGAAAAATAGTATCGTGCGCCGTTGACTTAACTCGTTACTTGTAACGAAGTTACAGTTACATTTTTTGGTAACTCCACCTTAACTTCGTTACTTTCTCTCCGTCTGTAAAGCCAACGGCACACGATACTATTTTTTCTACTGGATTGCTTACGAGAGCCAATCAGAACGCAGAGTTTTCGATCAGGTGTCTCTGTATAGAGTTAGAGACCCTGTAATCAGAGACTAGCCATAAGAGTTCGTCAAATTCCTGCGAGAGAGAAACATAGACTATCTCACTCTTCTACGATCGTTACTCGCTCTCTCTTACTCGCAGGAATTTGACGAACTCTTATGGCCAGTCTCTGATGACAGGGTCTCTAGTGAAATAAAGGAATTCTGATTCGTCCATTTTCTAACAGACGACTGGTTGAATCTACCAGATTTCTAATGCAACCAAACTTTTTTTCAGTGTAGTTACATCTTTAGCAAAAAAACTGTAACCGTCACTAGATACTTTTATAAAGTAACTTTCCCAACCCTGAACCATAGTATAACTAGTAGGTTCACTCAGTCATTTGTTTCGTTTTGCGCCGATCCCTCCCTCGCATCCGACACAGTTCTGGGCAGACCAATGAGAGAAATGTTGTATGTGCGGTAGTGTGGCTTTGATGAGTACGTGTACACACATACGTCGCTGAATCCTGCCCGAGTGCATGGCGGAATGCCACGTAAATGGGACCGCAAAGATCAAAGGGGCCGACAGAGAGTGGACCTACTAGTTAGACTATGGTGGGAGCATCTTCCTGAGGGAAAAGGATAGTATGAATTTGCTTGGGTGTCTATCTTTCTCTAGCGGGCATGAGTCACGAGAGTCGGAGAAAGAAGACCACCCAAATAAATTCACACTATCCTCTTCCCTCAGGAGGATGCCACCACTTAGGGCTGCACTGCCTCATAAGAGCAGTCCATGGTTATATGTCTATGGTGTACCCGCGGGACCGAGAGAGTCGACAGATTTAAAATTTAAGGAAACGACGCATTTTGCGCCCGCGTTACATCGCGCCGTCGCTCGTTACCTCTCTCTCTTTCTCTAGCACGCGTGAACGTGGACAATTAAATACGCAATTTCCTGCCGAGTTGCGAAACGAAAATCGATACACGGGGAGAGAAAGCCGCGTGATTTCACTGATTAGAGTGTACTTGGGGAAAAAAAAAGAACTAGGTAGCTTATATGAAACCCGATATTCGTAGATCTTATATTAAAGAGCGTCTTAAATTTATCTAAAGATGCTGTACGCAACATTTCATCAATCTAAAGATGATCTTAAAAATTGTGATCCATACGGCGTGTATGGCTGATGGCAGAGAACCATCCGTAAACGCGTAAGAATGTCTTAGCGCTGGTCTACAATACATGGAGTAAGCATGGAGTAAGGGAGAGCCCTAACTTCTAGCTTTTGGTGTAAGGAAGCTGAAATACGGGCATAATTTTTAAAATATTTGTAACACTGATTGATGGCATTTTGATTCATCGAGAGTAAGCCTAAGAGCTAAAGTAGGAGTAAGAAATAAAATGGATTTATTTCCTTACTCCTACTCCTTACTCCAGCTTACTCCATGTATTGTAGACCAGCCTTTAGGCTCGGTTTCACCAAAGCTTAACTTTAAGCTTAGCTTAACTGGTTCTTTGTCTCTTTCCAACTGTTACTCTAGAAAAAGGCAAACATGAATTAAACTAAGATTGAAGATTAAGCAACGTTAGGTGAAACTGGGCCTTAGTCGGTTACAGTTTTCTCTGCCTTGCCTTCCGTCTACGACTAAGACAGTCCTAGGCCCGGTTTCACCAAACTTTAATCTAAACAGTACACGATACTATTTTTCCTACTGGATTGCTTACGAGAGCCAATCAGGATTTAGCCTTAAGTCACCTGGTCGAAAACTCTGCGTCCTTATTGGTTCTCGTAAGCAATCCAGTAGGAAAAATAGTATATCGTGTGCCGTTTGTTTCAGTTTAATCCATTTGTCTCTTCCTAAAGTAACAGTTGGAAAGAGACAAAGAATTAAGCTAGACTTAAAGTTAAGCACCGTTGGTGAAACCGAGCCTTTACGGATCGTTCTCTGCCTTCAGCCTATATTGACAACGCATTCGCATTGACAAGGTATACATATAAATAGTCGACAGAGAACTAGATATAATACGATTATATCTATCTATGACTCAGCTTTCCTGCATCTCGATCGCGATAACTTCATTTTGTTTTAAATACCGGTTGTCTTTCACAGGACGCGAGAGCAGAGTCGACGGTACAGATCGAAATCGCGAGTCCGAACGAGGGTACCAGGAAGGACCTTGACAGTCGCGAAGGCGCGGGTGACGCGGCGCGGCGCAGCGTCGGCGCAGCGTCGTCGCGACGCTCCACGACGCGATGGTTATCGCCGCGATGCGCCGTGATCGATAAACCGGCACGGCGCGGCACGGCGCAGCACGCCCACCCTGGCAGTCGCGGTATATTTTCGTCATGCGGTGCATTTAAATATTCATAACGGCCTCTTTCCACCTCGTAACGCCGCCGTAACGACGTTAAAAGGCCCGACGTGTGCATGATTGGGATGCTCGCCGAGGAAGGTCGCGCGGACGGTGGAACGAGACGGTCCACCACCTGGTCGATACTTGGACGCGCGGCGAGGCGACCGGGAGAAACCTCGGGGGGACGTAACAGAATGAGAAATGGAGAGAACGCGCGTGCAGGCGGAAGAAGGAGCCATAAACGCAAGAATGCACCTCTCGCTCGGCGGGCTCGCGCGCGGAATATGAATGGGGCGATGCTGGGCTCTCGCCCCGAGAAACTGGATCTTGGCCGCCGCCGCCGCGCGTAAAGGCTTGCGTCCACGATGCTACAACTTGGTCCAGGTTCTAGTTTCGAGAAATGTGTAGCCAATCAACTTGCAGTTATTCCACAAAAGCTGCAAGTTGATTGGCTACGCATTTCTCGTAACGTGGACCAAGTTCTAGATTAAATTCTAGCATCGTGGGCACAGGCCTTTATGGAATAGCTGCAAGTTGATTGGCTACACATTTCTCAAGACTTGGACAAAGTTCTAGCATCGTGGGCACAGGCCTTAAGCGCCGTACAACCTGGCTGCTCGCCGTGGAGAGCCGCGAGTGCTCCGCCGCGCGAGCGAGCGGAGGATATACATAATTTACGGTGTCCTTGCCGCGAACGTAATGCGCGCGTTACCGCGCCGAGGAGCGGGAATTCCTCTCGGAGCGCTCGCCCATTCAACCCTAGGCGGTCAAGGCCCTCGGGGCCTCTGAGAGGAAGAGATCCGCGTCGTTTTCCCCGCGCTGTAGACGCATCCACGCGAGTTTATTACGTTGACGATTCACGGAACTCGACGTGACTGTCGAGGAAGCCGCTCGCTTGACTCAGCGTCGGGTCATTAGTTCGCTTAAACACGTCCGTTTTTTTCTTCTTCCTCGACTTCGATAACTCTGATTTCCCAAGACTCCCAGACTCGTCCCGCGAGTCTGCCGTAAGAAGTATCGAAGGCTGTTTCCTAGCTTTGTGCGAGCGTCCGCGGGCGTTCAATAATGATCTCGCGATACGGCGAGCTGATCCACAAGGCGATGTCGTAAATTCTTTTATCACAGACAATCATTCTCTCTATACACCGCGCCGGCGATCGATCCTTCGCTCGGCTCCGTTCGCTCCATAACAGCCTACGTTTCCGGGATCACCGGTCCAGGTGAGCCACTGCCGACTTTGCTGACCTCGCGCTCCTGTAATCTACCCGCGGCCGCCGTGCTTCTCTCCCGATTAATCGACTCGCGTATTAACCCTTTGCGTGTCGGCGGTTCTGCCGTGAAATCGCTACGATCACCGTCCTTGATGTAATTAAAACGGCGCACTTTTTACAAGATTTCTGATGTACTAAGCCTGAACTGCAACGTGCCCTTTGCGTCTAGAAACATTCTACTTTGTAGCCGAGTACGGGTACATTTAAAGAATTTGTACAAGTTGGTGAATTCTACATCGGAGAGAGAAATGTTTCAGGCGTTTCGATTTGCTCACGTAAAACGGAATGCTTCTACACGCAAAGAGCACATTGCAGATCAGGCGTTATGCTTGTTATATGTGACATTAATAGTACGTTCTTTCGAACTTTCCGCCGCTACTCCGAACTGGTTGCGGTTGCAGGAAGTTCGCGATTGAATGTCTGCGTTGTTCCTTAAAACATGGGATACAGCAGTCAATATTATTTTTGTCTAATCGACAATTATTTATAAGCATCGCACAAGAAATGTTGGCCTTTATAAAAAAAAACACATTTCTTCTCCTATACTTTAACCGTTAAACGGCGAGACTGTACGCACGGAGTGGAAGTCGTCGACTGACCGGGACCGCTGTCGAGAGGTGCAACGATCGTGAGACGTCGTCGTCGAGCTTCGAGGACGAGATATACGCGGCGACTGACAAAACTAGAGATCTCGTTACGAAACCCGATTGCGCGAAGATTGCCGTCGTGCGATTTACTGATAAAACCGACGCGGTCTACTCTTGCGGCTGTCCAACGTGCCAGAGGGCCATTTCCAATCGCGCGGATAAGTCGAGACAGATTCGAGAACGAGAAAGAGAGATTGCATTTCCCACGTTGACTCGGGCTGCCTCGCGACTAATTAGCGCATTTCTTATCCGCGGGAGATACGATCGGCGATTGTGATCGGCGCCGACTGCGCGGGGCTCATTTGTCGGGAATCCGGCGGAGGGACGCGTATCGTTATCCGTGTCGCGCAATTAGGCAAGAACGACGCGCCCAGGCGCAGTCGCGGAAGCCCAAGGTGGCCTCACCGAGCTCTCCCGTCCGGAGTGGATCGCGAGTCCCGCGCCCGGGCGAATTTCTGCCACCCGGACGCGGACGGCTCGTCGTTATCTTACAACAGTCTTGAAACACGGGAACATCGATCGCACGATGGGGGAGTGACGACACCTGCGGCAAGTTGACGTACGCGTTGATCCCCGACGCCCCGTGCCAATTTAAATGTACGACAAACAAGCGACGGGGGAGGGAAACGAACGGCGGTAGCCGCGCCGTCTGGGAGTCGCGTGATCTGAAAATGGAAACGTTGACCGGCTTCGTCGATCGCGGGGGAGGGGGGGGGGATGTCCCGGTTGCGCTGATGCCTAGGAGGCCTCAAGGTCGGTAAAGAACGCGGCTTGGGAAATTCGGCGGGATATCCCGAGGTAGCACCGACGCACGCGGGATGCCGCGAACCAGGAGTTTAGCTTGACCGCGGGGCATCTTTCTCGACGAGAGAGAGAGAGAGAGAGAGAGAGAGAGAGAGAGAGAGAGAGAGAGAGAGAGAGAGAGAGGGGGGGGGGATACAGAGAGCGAAAGAGCTCTAGGCGTGAAATATCGCGGAGAAAATGACATTGGCGATCAATGATGGAGGTCCGCGCGTCCTCGATCGACAGGTAAAGAGAGAGGGAGAGAGAGAAAAGAGCGGAGTCCCGATGACAGCTGATCGCACATTATCAGACGGCCTGTCAAAGTAGCTCGCGCGTCGCTGCTCGCGCCCGAGATTCGACGGATAAAACGAGGATGCCACGACGCCGCCGTCGTCGCTCGAAATGTCTCTTTCTCTCTCTCTCTGTCTCTCTCTCTTTCTCTCGGGAAGACGTCGCTGCGACGCACGACGACGCGCCGACGGTGATCGCGGCGCGAGGCTAGCTCGCGGAGAAAATCAATTCGCGTCTGGTGACGTGCAACGCGCGTATACGTCGTCGGCAGGTCCGGACGCTCTCTCCCTCTTTTCTCCTATAGTTTTCTTTCGCTTTCTGTCTCTTGCGTGCGCCCGGAGAAAAATTCCCCCGAGACCACGACGACGGCAACGGCGGCGATGACGACGACGACGATGACAACGTGCAAGAGCGTCGCGGAGACAAGAACGCTGACGCTGACGTCGACGTCGCGCGCGCGCGCGCGCACGCGTTCGCTCGCGCTCGCACGCGTGCGACCGTCGACGCGATTTCCGTGGCGACGGATGAAACGTACTCGGAACGTGACGCCACGACGTGCGGGACGACCGTTTGTTGTATGCGCACGGCCATTTTGCCAGAACCCGTCACCCGTCTGTGCCTGTGCCACCGCCGCCGCCGCCGCCGCCGCCTCCTCCGTTTCTCTCTCGCCACCGGCCCAGCTCCGACGCCCCCCCTCGAGATTCCGCGCCCCCGGGACCCGCATTGCGCGTTTCGCCGTCCATGAAGCGAGCCTCCCGCTCGAATACTCACGTCTGTTTCACGGAGCAGCAATAACCGTGGGACCGCCGTGGGAGTCGGGAGCGACGACGAGAATTTATTCGCGTGAAAACCGGGACGACCGCCAACTATCGGTGAACACCTCGGGATCACTTCTGCGATCGGACTGGCCCCCGCGAGGTGGCGTCTGCGCACTTGCAGCGCATGCGCGACGCGCACGTCCGAGTTTCGCCGACTCTCGGGGCCGCGTTCGAGGCGACGCAGACGCCCGCTGGCGGCAGCCCGCCGAAGCTCGGGGCCGCGTTCGAGGCGACGTCGACGCCCGCTGGCGGCAGCCCGCCGAAGCTCGGGCTGTCGCCTCGCTCGATCGCGCATACCGGTGACCACTACGGAAAAA